GTAGGGGAGAGCAGGGTAAGCCGAGCCAGTGGGTAGGATGAGCCATCGCTTATATCTAGGCAGCTATACACAAAATTAGCTATGTGATCACAGATTAAGGAAGAATAGTTAATTTCACTGAATCTGTGTTAGAGAAGAGCACAAGGAAAAACATGGTAATTGAACCACAACTGAAAATGTCATTTTAATCATGGTTAAGATGCTTTTTTTAATTTCTGTGAATGTACAACAACTTTAAGTATATATGACGACTGTTGTTTGAAATAAATACACACTCATTTTGCTGTAGATTCATGCTTTGTAAAAAGTAGCTAATTTTACCCTGTTCTCTCCTACTTTGGACCTTCATCATAGTAGTAGTCATGATTAACAAGATGTCATAATGCAGATCTGGCTGCCATAGATGGGAGAGGAGGAGGTGGAAAAGAGGGAAAGAAAAGAGAAAACCATTTAGTGCTGCAGTTCTCAAACATTCCTGATGCATTCAGATGACCTTACTGGGAATTCTCCCATCTGCCCCTGTTCCAAACTGGACATTTCCCATGGGAAGCAGGCAAGATTTTTTTTATAGTGCCCGTGTCTTAGCATTACTCGCCAGTAAATATTCTGTTATGTTCATCTGTCATCTCTGAAATTCTCACTTCTCCACCACTTGTGCTAGAAAGAAAGCGAATTAGTCAGTCTGTGTTAAAGCATTATAGAGACAGACTAATAGGTTCTGCATAGTTTTATCTGCAAAACATTTAAACATATGCAGCATTCACTTTATTCAAGTGGAATAATAAATATAAAAGTATGATATAGAACATATCCAACAGTTTTAAATCATCACTGACAGTAGTGATCACCTAATTTGCTGTGATCTTGTCCAGTAACTGTAATGCAGCATTACCACCTGAAAACAAAACACACAACCTAAATCGACTAGTCCATTGTGCTGCAGTCCAGACCTTTTCAAAGCCATAACATGAAATGACCATAGTAAAATGCAGTGGAAATATTTCATGGATAATGGTACACCGGTCAATAGATTGGAGGATGTAGTAGATAAGTTTAATAGGTTCTTTGTGAATGTTGGTCCTGGTTTAGCAAGAAGCATTTGTACAGATGATACATCCGTCACTATAAATAATAATACAATCGAAAGGAACATGAGTTCTATGTTTTTGAAGCCCATAGTTGAAAAGGAAATTATAGAGATAGTGAATAAATGTGGTAACAAAACATCTAGTGATAGTGATGGCATCACTATGACAACTGTTAAATGGGTAATTGAGGGGATATGCAAACCATTAACCCATATTTTTAACATGTCATTTCGACTTGGTCAGTTCCCTAATAATATGAAAATAGCAAAGGTTATTCCTCTGTATAAATCTGGTGATAAGCACAACTTCACAAATTATAGACCAGTTTCTCTGTTGTCACAATTTTCAAAAATTCTGGAAAAAACTCTTTAATAACAGATTAGATACATTTTACCATACTTAGAGTATGGCGTTGAAAACTGTGGAAATACATACAAAAGCTCACTTCAACCATTGTATATATTACAAAAAAGAGCGATAAGAATTGTGCATAAGATGGGGTATAGGGATCACACCAATGTAGCTTTCATACAGTCTAAATTGTTAAAAATTTTCGATTTAGTGGGATATAAGACTGCTGTGTTTTTGTATAAAGCCAGGAACAATTTATTACCTGGTGGAATTCAAAAACTATTTAATGAAAGGGAAGGGGGATACAATTTAAGGGGTCAGTTAAATTTAAAAATTCATGCTATACGTACAACCAAAAAAAGATTTTGTATTTCCATAAGTGGGGTAAAACTATGGAATAATTTAAGTGTGGACATAAAAAAATAGTACTAGAATTGATGAGTTTAAACATAAATATAAAGGTATGTGTCAATCAAGATACAGGAAAGAACAGGTTTAATGATTAATTAGATGGAACACTGTGGGTGTGGGGTAAGAATGTTAACACTGTAATAATTCTGTAGTATATTAGTTGTGTGGTGTAGAGGATAATTATTTATGTAGAGATATTGCTTAGGACTTAAAAGTTGTAAGTTGATGTCATGGGGCCGGACTAGATAAGTCTTCTTCCTACTCCGTTCAAGCATGTACTAGGTATAAGCAAATTGATATTGGATTATTATTGTTGGATATGTGTGAAATTACATGTGTTGACATATCAACTGTTTTACATGCTCGAATGAATAAATCAAATCAAATCAAACTCACAGGTGGCCATCCAAACAGAGCAAGGTGACATGAAACAGTACAGGACAATAATAAATAATAGCATTTTAAAAAGTAAAGGTGTTGTAAAAACATGCTGGTGTGAAGAAACGTCTTTATCACATGGAGCTATAGGCCCAAAACAAGATAGAACCATGAATATACAGTAAAAACCTTTTCTCTGCTGCTGTGCACTATTACCAATCACAGGTTAACAAAGTTTTACCAGTTAAGTTCCTTTTACTTGACCAGAAAATCTTAAAGAAGTCAGTGTTGTCTGACAACAGACCAGGATCAGCTGGTACATCTAAGAGTTTAGAGTCGAGCCTCAGCTAAAGCACTGGCTGCTTGAGGAGTCGAACAGCTCCCTGTACAGCCCCAGTGTTGTGATGTCCACAGGTGGAACTTTCCTGATCAGTTTTATTCAGAAATGGGCCACCTCTGATTCCTCCAGCTGTCTTAGATAAGAAGCTATGTGTATTATGTGCAGGTGGGCAGGTGTGAAAGGGTCTTGCAGTTTTATTTAGAAAGTGTGTGAGTAGTAGAATCTGTTTTTTTTCTAAACAGAGAGGTCGTCCGCTCTCGTTCTGCTGCTTGTTCCACTGGTTTTGCTGAATCTCCGCTTGTCCTTCTGACAGAGGCCTCCATTCTGGCAAAGGAGCAGTACGTCTGGGCCGCCACTTTGGATCTGAGGGCAGCTGACGTCCCTGCTCCCAGGGCTGTAGCAGTTAGTGTCAGTCCTCAGGTATCCGCCATCTTGGATCGGATTATTACCTGTATTCTGCCATCCAGGCAAGTAGCAGTTCATCATATTTACTTCCTCTACTTCTGCAGCCATTTTGTTTATTTCTGTGGCCATGTTCTCAGAGTTTTGTTGGTTAGCCAGTCGGTGGTTGGGGAATGGCAGGGGCAGGAAGTGCGAGGAGCCAATCACACACTGGTTGAAGTCTGGAGGTGGGGGGGATAGTGAGAGCTGCCGGGCCGGAGGGGCAGTGTTAGGAGTGATGGCCTTTGTGGGCAAGACGAACTGCCTGCAACGACGAGTCCAGGTCAGTCAGTAAGTAAAGTAGTTGGATATAAACAAATGAGATACAGTCTCAATATAATATGAAGAATTACTTATCCACTATCTTAAACTGAAAGAAGCAAGAGACAGAGGCCAATACCCTCATCTTAGGACTGTAGCATTAGTGCTGCGTCCTTAGCACTGTACTTCCTTAAATTTGGGGGAACCACGGGAGACAGTTGAAATAACAGCTTTCTGTAATTTATTTGGACATCACTGCAGCACACACACACACACACACACACACAGTTGGTACCTGCAGCAGTGTTTCCATGCCAGGTGATGCAGTTCGAGCACATTGAGAACCAGGGAGACGACCGACACAACCAGCATGAACACTATGAAGACATTTTTCTCTGTCGGCCTGGAGACATAACAGTTCACCGGATGTGGACATGGCCTGGCCTGAGAGGGAGGTTGAGGAAGAATGACAGTAGGCCTGCACATGTTCTAACAAATGAGTTCACAGTAATTCAGATTTCTGGGTTTACCTGGCAGACATAGAGAGAATTGAGAAGGATTCCATACAGGTAGTACTGCAGACACAGAAACACCACCTGTATAGAGGTTCAGTCACAGTCAGCTGTGTAGGGTAATGTAAGAAGCAAACTTCCCATTGTTTATTTTGTGCACAAGAACTTATGTGCACATTTCACATTCCTGCCAGTGCATTCACATCATTCCCCTGATGAACAGCTACTGTTAATGACATGCATGTGCAGGTTAAGACACAGACGATCTGCTTGAACACTGAATATAAAGATCACTTTAGTTTGTCTAGAAGAAAACTAACATCTTTTGTCTTTATAACTCTTGGTATCTACCAACTTCTGATAAAAAGCTCTGTCTTTAGCTGCTGAATGCGCCACCTTCTTCACCAGCTCGTTGATGATAGTGGTGCAGTGGCTTTATCAGAGCTTGTTTGAGATGAGAGAGTGCTGAGGCTCAGTCGTACACTACCTGAGCAAATAAAACCACAACTGTTGCCTAAAAAAGGCTTAAAAGTAACATTTACCTCCATGACGCTTCGTATGAGAATACTCATTATGTAGGTCTGAAGCAGAGCTCCCCTCAGGCGAACTCGACCTGATAATGGACCTTCTCTTTTCTCCTTTCCTCCATCCTTGTCTCCTTTCCTTCCCTGTTTTTCCTGTCCTCCACCGCCTCCACCTTCACCTCCTCCTGGGTCCTCCTCTCTCCCATCCCGCTCTCCTCCGTCCTGCTCTCTGCTCCTCCTCTTCTCCTCTCTGCGGACAGTGTGCATGGCGTGGCCCATGTAGATGAGACTCGGAGTGGACACAAACACAATCTGGAGTACCTGGGAGGTTAAAGGTTAGTGACACTCAAAATCAAAGGAGTAAACCAAACATTGAGCAGGATGTGATGCAGTGCTGTTGCTTACTTTACTGACAAACATTTTAGTTTTTGATTTAATATTTACCAGGTGCCCATTAGTTTCTGTTAACACTGGTGCTGTATGTACAGTGGGTATGGAAAGTATTCAGACCCCCTTAAATTTTTC